AAATCCACATAAATTTTAAGATTAAATACAAAATTTTAAAGCACGTACTTGCTTGTACTGGAGTATCTGTGGCTATAGGGACTAATTCTTGAAGGAAAACATTCATTTTTCCCCACAATAGGGTACTTTGGTAGAAAAGTTGAATAAGCAAATATTTACTACACGACGCGCAGACTGCAATTCTTTCCTTTTCTTCTTGGTTTTCTTAAACGGAAGCCCAGAGATAAGTCCAGAAAGAAGGATGTTGAGCCTTGCTCAAAATCAGCTATGTGAATGGTTCCAAGCGGTTCTAAAGCACACTTTAGAAATCCTTATACTCAAAGCAGGAGAGTAGTTACGAAAACCTACCTACCCACTACATGAGTATGATTTGGGAACAGAACAGGATACCAAAGGCAAGCCTTGGCTGGAAGAAGTGAGTGCTAAGGTAGGAATGCTCCCAACAAAACCCAGGTTGAAACTTAATTACTTAATTGCTAATGTAACAGTACTGGGAAGCAGATCCTTTAAGAGGTGATTAGGTCATTTACGGATTCCCGCTGTTATCCTGGGAGTGGGTTAGTGATCTCAGGAATTCAGCTGCCTTTTTCGCTGCTTGCTTTTGCTTCCACTCTTTCACAATGGGTGATTATCACCAGATGCCAGAGCCATGCTCCTGGACTTCCCAGGCTCCAGAACCATGAGCCAAATAAATTATTCTTGTTCCTTGTAAATTACCAAGGCTGTGACAGACTGCTCCAGCAGGAGAAAGCAGACTAGACTAGTGGGCCAACCAGCTCTGTGTATGACTTGAGAGATGTAGGAAAACGTCCTTCTTTACCACACTGATACAGTGACTGAAATCTCAGGCACTGGTACAAGCATTTCTAAGTGGTTTCTCATAAAGTCATGCACCATAAACATAACTTATGTTTTAGCCAACAATGGACTGCATACATAACAGCAAACCCATAAGATTATAATAAAGCTGAAAAATTCCTATTGCTAAGTGGTGGCACAGTTTCCTAACATCATAGCACAATGCATTACTCATGTGTTTGTGGTGATGCTGGTGTAAATAAACTTATGCTGCCAGTTGCAAAAAGGTATGGCACATACAATTATGTATAGGGCACAATGCTTGATAAAGATAATAAATGTTACTCATTCATGTATTTACTATACTTTTAATCTTCATTTTAGAGTGTACTCTTTCTAGTTAAAAAAAAAAAAAGTTAATTTAGGCAGGTCCTTCAGGAGGCATCCAGAAGGCGGCATTGTTATCATAGGAGACAGCAGCTCCAAGCACATTACTGCCCCTGAAGACCTTCCAGTGAGACAAGATGTGGAGGTGGAAAGCAGTGATATTGATGATCCTGATCCTGTATGAGCCTAGGCCAATGTGTTTCTGTCTTAGTTTTTATCAGAAAGTGTAAAGAGCAAAACAAACTTTTTAAATTTAAAAACAGGAAAAAATCTTACAGAATAAGGATATAAAGTATTGTTTTACAGCTGTACAATGTGTTTGTGTTTTAAGCTAAGTGTCATTTCAAGACTCAAAAAGTTAAAAAAGTTTATAAAGCAAAAAAGTTACAGCAAGCTAAGATGAATTTATTAGTGAAGTTTTAAATAAATCTAGTATAGCCTAAGTATCCAGTGTTTATAAAGTCTACAGTAGTGTACAGTAACGTCCTAGGGCTTTACCTTCACTCACCACTCACTCACTCGCCCAGAACAACTTCCAGTCCTGCAAGCTCCATTCATGGTACATGCCCTACACAGGTCTACTTTTTTTTTTTTATCTTTGATACTGTAGATTTTATACTGCATTTTTACTATGCCTTTTCTATTTTTCGATACAAATACTTATTATTGTGCTGCAATTGCCTATTCAGTACAGTAGCATGCTATGTAGGTCTGTAGCCTAGAAGCAAGAGGCTATCCCACACAGCCTAGATGTGTAGTAGGCTATAGCAGCTAGGTTTGTGTAACTGTACTCTGCAGTGTTCACACAACTACAACATCACCTAACAGTGCAGTTCTCTCAGAACCTATCCCCATTGTTAACAGACACGACTGTACTTATCCTTAGGAAACAGGTACTACTGTCCCTAACTTATATGTGAGAAAACTGAAGATCAACGGTGTGAAGGTAGCTCAAGCCAACTACCTAACTTACAGGTGACACAACTTGTGTCAAATTCAGGCCTGACTCCAAAGTCATATCATTGTTTTCTACCATATAGTGTCTTTTTGTTAATAACGTTCTGCCTCCTCCTTCTCATTTGCCCTTTGTTTTCCCTCTTTAACTCCTTTCTTATTACAGTAATTACTGGATTGCTTACCATCCACCTAAAGTTCAATCTGAGGCTTTAATCTCCTATTACAATTGAAGACACTGGGGTTACAGCATCAGATGTGTGACTGCTTTGTTCTCACACATTCTTCTACTGTGGTGGGATTACTTAAGAGCTGTTAAGGTGTAATCAATGCTTCCGCTTTCCATAGGAAGGTCTGACATAAAAGCACTCATGTATCAATCAAATCAATCTAAGCTCTAGCATTCACAGCCCTCTTCCCTTACCAGGTACAGTTTTCTGGTCACAGCTGGAACTCTGCTTATTTTTATGTAGTTGGGCAAAGTGAATAGCTACAAAAAAAAAAAAAAAAAAAAAAAAAAAGCCTAAATCTTCCTTGCAGTAAGACCAAAAGGTGTCTTAACTGTTCCTATTACATTTAGATAGAAAAGTCACAGCCTGTCAATCTGTCCTGGATAGAATAAAATAGAAAACAAGTGATCTAAATTAATTTTTAATTCCAGCATCTCAGGATACAGACATAGGGCTATCTTATTCCAAGAAGTACTATATCCCCACGAACACCTTTTTCCAGTCTTTTTAAAAAACAAAACAAAAAAACATCGATTCTCTCCTCTAAATCTACCAATTTCTAAAATAAACTGTCCATTTTGCTCTTTCATTCCACACTAACAGCTTCACCTTACATCTGACTTCTTTTCATGCAACATCATTGTAATTTCTCCAGTGTTTTATCTGATGATCCAATTTATTCACTCCACACCCCTCAGACCTCCTATTTGTAATTCTGCAGCCCTACAGAAGTCAGTTTCACTGCTCATTCCAGATAGGCGCTGAGCCAATATATTGCCAATAACACTCACTCTTGTGCTAAGTTAAAATACACAGTGCAACTTGCCAAGTTTCCTTATTTGGCAAGAAGGCCCCTTAGTTCCCAAGATCTTTGACCATCCATTTTTAGATCCAAGTCTGCGTGTTTAATATTTGGATATTTTTCTCTCTCTCCCTTTGTTTAGTGTGTCCTTATGTATTCCCTAAAAGAATAAGAAAAACAGATCAATCATCTATTTGCTTTTTTAGACAAGAAAAAAAGTCCTGGCAATTGCATCATGGTCATTTATTCTGCAATTATTATCACTACAATTTTTTATTTAAACAATAATATTTTGAGGTTAAAAAAACTCCCCAAATAATCTCAAAAAGTTTATAATAGGAATTAAATTGCAAAAGATTAAAATAAACAATGCAGTGGTCCAAAAGACCATTTTTTAATCTTAATTCTCTCTTCCCAAACTAAATTCCTATTCATTTACAATCTCCTAAATCTCACTATGGTAGCAGGAATTTAAAACAAAGGCTCTACAAATGGCCAAAACCATAATTAAATATGCAGCCATCACATTTTTTTTTTTTTAATTGAAAAACAAGCAAAATTTCACTGTGGAGACAGGCCTACTACAAAGAGGGCATTAAGTAGCCCTGAATCACTTGCTTACTTCTGTCTTTAAACGTGTTTGGAGGTTTGGATCCAGTAAATCCTAGCTGTTCATTTCAACTAAGGTCAGGGAAGCAAGAAGGCTCCCCTAACACAGCTTCAGGGTTAAAGTCGGAATACAGTTTTCACCAGTCTTAATTCAAAAATCCTCAAATTCACTCTGTACGACGATTCTCCCACACCATTATTAATGAGAGCTGCTTACTGTACTATACCTGGAATTGTGTTGCTTTCGTTATTACAGAAACTAACAAAAATAAAGTTCCCCATAAACAACGCTTATGGGAGATTTCAAAGGGCATCAGAAACATTTTCGGCGATCTAACAGAGATACCCAATTTTTTTTTTTGTTGAGGCAATCGGAAGTCATCCAGCCAGTCCTGAATTAAAGTTTTCTGAAGGCTGTCATGAGCGTGCGAGGCCAGGCGAGGCCTGGTGCAGGTCTCGGGGACCACGAAAAGCCGGCTCCCCGAGGGTCCCCGAACAGGGCACCGCCGGCTCCGGTGGGAGGAAAGGGGGAAGCCCGAGGGGGCAGGCGCTCCACGCTGCCCGAGCCCGGGGCAGGAAGGGCGGGGAGCGGTGGCTCTGGGTGGCTCTGGATACATGTACGCCTGCTTGTAAAACTCATCTCCAGTGTTCATTGTTCCTGGCCTAATTATGTGAGGGAAACAATGAAGGAAAATGGATGGGACGCAACGCCGCTCGCGGCCGACTTCTTAGGAAAGCAGAAGTTGGTCGTCCCTCCTCGCACGCACGGCGTGTGCTGGGAAGCGGCCGGCACCCCGCCCTGATTTGGGGGTCTCGCGCTTCGCCCCGCGGCAGCGCTCCAGCCGCCCGGCGCTTGGCCGGCTGTGCTGCTCGCGGGGCCCCTGCCCGTGCCGCGAAAGCCCGAGCCGCCCCGGCCCGCGCCCCGCGGCTCCGGGCGCCAACTTCTCCGTGGGACTGGCCCGAACTCTCCAGAACCGCGCTTGGCGGCGCCGCGGCCGAGGTCCCGCGAGGACTCCCGGGGCGCCGCGAACGCTCGCTCCCGCCGCCGCCGCCGCCGGGCGGGCCCTGGGTCAGGGAGGGGAGCCCGGGCAGCCTCTTGAGGCCGTCTGGGCTCCCGGGCCCCGGCGGCGCCTCGGCCCCGAGACGCGGGGACGACTCGCGAGCCCGACAGGCCTCGCCCCCTCCCTCCCCCGCTCCGCGGCCTCTGGCCTGGCCCCTACCTGGCTCCCGGGCCGGGCGCGAGCAGCAGCCGGGGGCGCCGAGGCCTCGCGCGCGACGAGGGCGGCGGGGGTCGGGACGACGGCGGCCCTCGCGGCTCCCACGATTCCTCCGGAGTCAGGAGTTGAACATTCCGCCTCTCCGCGCGGCGCCAATGAGGAAGACAGTCACGGCAACAGCACCACCTACCTCCAGGCGCGGAACGGCCGGGCCGCCCTCCCTTCACACGCGCGGGCGAGCGGGGCGTGGGGAGGCTCTCCGGGCTCCCTGGCCAGCGCCCGGGGGGCGCCATCCGCCCCGCGCCCCAGGACCGGCCGAGGCCCCGCAGACACAACTGCCCCGCTGCGGGGGAGGCCGTGGGGTGCATCCCCTCCACCAGCATCTTAACTCATCTTTTTGACAAGTTAACACACCTGCTCCTCTTTCAACTCCCTCCTCAACAAACAGGCTCTGGGGACCCAACGAAATAGAGGCTGTGTTGTGCCCTACAAGAGATCCTTTAGTTGGGAAAGGGACAATGTAGAGATTTCTGGGGACATAGGTCTGAAGGCTGCTTTCCTAGAAGGATCGGTAGGTACCTCTGGCATTTTGAGTTGGGGCCGTGGTCTGCTGCTCTCCATCTGAACTGAACAGAACTCAGATGAGGAGCCAGAGTCCATTACAGGCCGAAGCCCAAGGTGGACATGGGCGTTGGGGAGAAAAGAAATGTCTGACTGGGGAGGATGGTTCTGTGAAGGAAAAGTGAGAGGAGCTTGCAAGAGCAGGGGCCACGTTATCCAGGATTTTGAATTTGAATTTTATTACCCATGGACACTGGGGAGCTGCCGAAAATTAGAATCAAGGGAGTGAAATGGGTGTTTGGGTTTTTAAATAGTCATTTTGAGAGAGTAGCCCACAGTGGTTGTAGGTTGGGTTGCTAGGATGGAAGCAGGGTGAGTGGTAGATATTGTCACCACCCGGTTATGGCATGACGAGGACCCAAGTTAGGGGGTAGGAAATGGAATTAAAAACAAGAAATGGGCTGGGTGTGGTGCCTGTAATCCCAGCACTTTGGGAGGCCAAAGGGAGAGGATTGCTTGAGACCTGGCTGGGTAACATAGTGAGACCTCATCTCTAAAAATAAAAATAAAAAAATTAGCCCAGTGTGGCCGCACACACCTATAGTCCTAGCTACTAGGGAGGCTCAGGTGGGAGAATCGCCGGGGAAGTCGAGGCTGCAGTAGACCACAATCGTGCCACTGCACTCCAGCCTGGATGAAAGAGACCCTGTCTCAAAAAAGAAAAAAAAAAAAAAAAGGGAATTGAGAGAAATATTAAATATTTCTCGAAGATCCCACAGAAATTGGTAAACCACTAGATTTAGAAGAGAAGAAGAGAGATGATGCCAAGATTTCAGACCTGGATGACTGGAAGAATGATGGTGTCACTGACAGAAATAGGATTATGTGGAAGGGAAGCTGGCTTCATGTTGAGTTTGAGGTCATAGGAGTAAAAACAGGTAGAGATGTAGCAACTGAAATATGAAACTGAAATTCAGAAAAGAGGTCAAGAGTGAAATAGAAAATTTGTAAGTCATTCAACAGGCTAAAGATATGAAAGTGGAATGATGAGTGAATAGAGATTAAAAAACAATTTATTAGTCTGACATTCAGATTAATTTGCCCTTTGATTAGGACTGGAGATTTTAGCATTAATAAGTTTTATTTTGGTAACTGAGAAATTAGAATTGATGAAAATTGCCAGGGAAAAAAATTTGTAATGGAGGTCTAATCAAATAATTCCAAATGATTCCATCTAATCCATTCAAGGAGAAACTAAGGCTCTTTAGCATAGACCCCAGGCATAGGATGACTCTAATCATTTTACCTTACCTTCGGAGGCACTTGGTTGTGATAGAAAGGACACTTGACTGAGGGTCGGAAAACCTGACCTCTGGTCTTAGAACCACTGGGTATCAGCTAGAATGCTTTGCAAGATAGGCCACAGTTTCTTCCTCTGCAAAATAAGAGGGACTAATTAGCAGTTAGTTACAGATTCTGGCTTTAAAACCCCGAATGTATTGCTTTAAATTGGGAGCACATGGTTTAATAGCTTTAATATCTTTAGCCACATTGCACTTGCTTCCCATCATTTTCTTTCATTCTGTTTTCCTCACATAATTAGGCCAAGAGAATAGCCAGCAGGAACAATGAACACTAAAGGTTTGTTTCACAAACATGTCTAAATGATAATCTAGTAGACATTTTCCTGTCTTCCCAAATAGGTTGCAGGCCCTTTGAGGTCATATCTTATATTCTGTTGTACCTGCATATGTATTGTCTATAGCTGAAATAAATATGTAATGATCGTATCATGAACTGATTGCCTCAAGTTTGGTTTTTCTTTTGTCAAGCTGCCTGTTTCCCATGGATTATATTGATTTTTTAGGCCCTAGACCCAATAAATATAGTCTAGTATGTATTCTCAATACTGACTGCTTTTTCAAACTTCCAGATCTTTTTTAAATTGGTTAATTCTCACCAGGCAGAATCTAGGTTTACCCGTGTAAAAAGCAATAACAAAAGAGACTTAGTGAAACCTCTCTTATCAAACCTGCCTATTCCTTTACTTCAAATGTTTCCACACTAAAAATAGATGTACTCTTAGCAGTGGGTGGCTTGCAAGTCCTTAGCACCCTCTTATACCCAGGAACATTCTCCAAAATAAACATGCAATCTAAGTTAAAATATATAAGTATAGCTTAAGGAAAAACTTTTCTAACCCCCTTTTCAATGGAATTGTTTCCTCTAAGCCCCTCTTCAGATAAGATAGCCTGAAACTGCCAACAGCTATCAGTGGATCGGAAAAGTGCAGATATAAATTCTATTAATGGCAGAAGGAACGGCAACTTAAAAGGAAGGAAGCAGTCTTTATCCTCCCCTCCTCTTACAGTGGTAAGAGTTACGGTGCAAGCTGGCACCCAGGGGCATTTTCTCTAGCTGTCTTAGTTTTCCATCTTAAATAGTGAATAGTCTATGCCTGGATTGTAGCTAAGAATTAGCCAACTTTTATGCAAACGTCAAGGCTTTACCTCCTGTACAACTCTGAATCCCTGGGAAATTAAGGTATATAATCAAACATCCTCTAAGTCATTTAATCGTTACCTTAAAATTATAAATAAAGCCTAGAACACTGTTTGAGTTTAGTTTTTACCTCTAACTTGAGGATCAAAGAGAGTCACAAGAATATTCAAGATACGGAGTTTATTTAGGTGCCCTGGGGCATGAAAGGAGCAGTGTGGCAAGAAGAGGTATTGAAGACCTCTCCACAACGTATTTCCACAACAAGCATTTACTGACTGCCGGGCACTGTGCTGAGCTTTATGATTATAGCAGTGAACAAGTGTGGTCCCTTTTCTCACAGAGCTTTTCAATGGAAGAGCCAGCAAAGATACGAGCAATTACACCGTGGAGTGCTCTTAAAGGGGCAGAGATTGGGGCTTACAGAGGGTACCTAGCATAGTTTTGAGAGGTCAATGAAAGCTTCCAAGTCGAAGAATCTCTTAAGTTAATACAAAAGGAAATGAAGAGGATTTGCTGGACAAAAAGGAGGGAAAGATATTCCAGGCAAAGGGAACAAGTGTCATGGCCTGAGAGCATTTAGCAAGTTCAAAGAATAAGTTCTCTATGTATCTCAGTAAAGAAATCACCAGCAGGGAGTAATAGCCCTCGTAGTAGCAGTCATAGTAATAGCAGAAGCAATAACAATAATAGATGGTTAATATTAACTGAATAGTCATACACAAGGCACTGAATTAAGAGTTTTACACAGACTTTTCCCATTTAGTCTTCACAATAACCCTAGCAGGTAGTTTAAGTCATCATCCCATGCTATGGGGCTGGAAAACATCTTGGAAAGCTTGGGCAACTTGCCTTCCCTCAGGGAGCAAAAGGTGGACTTTAGGTTTGTTTTTTTAGATCAAGCAGTTCTCAAAGTTTTGGTCTCAGGACTCCATTACACTCTAAAAAAGGCACTGGGGATGCCAAATAGCTTTTAAGTGAGTCAGATTTATCAATATTTATTATATTAGAAATTAAGGCCAGGCATGGTGGCTCATGCGTGTAATCCCAGCACTTTGGAAGGCTGAGGTGGGCAGATCATGAGGTCAGGAGTTCAAGACCAGCCTGGCCAACATGGTGAAACCCTGTCTCTACTAAAAATACAAATACTAGCTGGGCATGGTGGTGCACGCATGTCTGTGCAAACCCACCTCAACTGACATAAACATTGTTTGTAAACACTCAGTAAATATTTATTTAATGAAGAAATGAATAAAAGAAAGTGAATTCCTAATTGATTTATGATTCAAGAAACTAAATTTACCTATCTCAAGAAGTTTATTTGTAGAGAAGTATGGTAAGTAACACTACATGAACACTGCTTCTGTGTTAAGCATTTCATCAGAAGTTATGCAAAATACATTACTTAATTATTTAATTTATTTAATGTATAAAAGAAGAACTGAAGACTCAGTGATGCAAAGTAATTTGCTGAATATCATATAGCTAGTATATGGTAAAATCAGGATAAAGAGAAGCCTTGATCTATCGGAGTCTATAGCCCATATTGTTTTTATTGTACTGTGTGTCAAGGGAAATATACTTTTAGATGTTTTTGATAAAAAAAAATTTTTGATAAATCAGGTGCTATAAGAAGCACCTGATGGCCTGGCGCAGTAGTGCACATCTGTAATCCCAACACTTTGGGAGCCCGAGGTGAGCAGATCACAAGGTCAAGAGTTCAAGACCAACCTGGCCAACATGATGAAACACCGTCTCTACTAAGAATACAAAAATTAGCTGGTGTGGTGGCATGTGCCTGTAATCCCAGCTACTCAGGAGGCTGAGGCAAGAGAATCACTTGAACCCGTGAGGCAGAGGGTGTAGTGAGCCGAGATCACGCCACTGCACTCCAGCCTAGGCAATAGAGCAAGACTCCGTCTTTGGGCGGGGGGAAAAAAAACAGAAGTAGCACCTGGTCAGTCTCTATAAATTCTTTCTCAAACAAAGCGGGCAGCCATTGCTACAAATTGGAAAAAAAAAAAAAAACAGCATATTTTATAATATGTATCGTAAGACCTATGTACAAATCAGAGGAAATTTCCTGTATTCCATTTCTTAGCAC